CCCATGGGGTGGCTAGTGGGTTTGAACCACTGACTTTTCAGTCAGCAGCTGAGTGCTTTAACCAACGAGCTTAAGGCCCCTAAAGTATTTGTCACTGTACGACAGTCTTTCAGGAGTAACTACGTGGTGTACCCCCACAGCACAAGGAGATCAGAGAAGACGGTTTCACCTGCAGTGTGCACGCTCATTTCCTGCCCTCCCCCGGACGCCCCGCCCCTCCCTGCACCCCTCCACCCTCCCGAATACCCTCAGCCAGAGCCCCCACGGCCTCCCTGTTGCTCTAGGATGCTGCCCCTCCTCCAGCCTAGGCCCTGCACCCCACTGGGTGTCTCACCTGCACATTCTCCCCCAGACATCCGCCCAGCTCCCTCCTTCAGGTCCTGGGTGCCCATTCCCCACCACCTCTCACCTACTTTCTTCATCACCGCAGACGCCCCACACAAGTCCCACCTATCGGGCCTGGTTTCTCTGCTCACTGGAAAGAGTGTCTAGGAGCATGGGGGCATTCTCTTGTCCTTTGCTGTCCCCACCCCTGAGACGTTGCTCAGTGTCAGTGGGTCTCAGACACAAAGAAGCAATGGTTTCTAGCTCCATTGCCTTTGGGTCCTTAAATGCTGGATGGTTTCAAGATTTGCATTTCCTTAGGGCACTTGCCAAGAGTCAACAGAGAAGAGGGCCAACAGCGTTAATCTCTAGACCATCAATTCAGGCGCATCTTCAATGGTGAGCGGTGTTTCCACTGAAGGAAAGTCATGTTCTCCTTTGCCAGTTTGACCAACGTCTTCTCTTTCCGCCCACAGGTTGGCATTCTGTGGCGTGACTGGTGCCATCTCGTCAAGATGGTGGACATGGAAAGCCCCATCTGCCCCCTGTCCCCGCTTGAGGCTGACGACCTGGAGAGCCCGCTGTCAGAAGAATTCCTGCAGGAAATGGGGACTCTTCAGGACATCTCCCAGTCCATTGGTGAGGACAGTTCTGGAAGCTTTAATTTCACGGAGTATCCGTATTTAGGAAGTGGTCCGGGATCCGATGGATCTGTTATTACAGGTGAGTGTGCCTTTCTAGCAAGCTTGCCTCAGAAATGCTTTTTCTTTAGGGAAAACTGTTTCCTTCAGCAGGAAAAGAAGTCACATCTTCCTGTGAGGATCAAGATAAACTGTCGGACGCATGATCAAGCATCATCTCATGTGCCCCTGGGATGGGAAAGGTTTAAGGTGTATAGTACACCTTCTCTTAAGAACTGTACACAAATCCCATAATATTTGGAAGTCAGGTAAGGCAGTCAGCTGTGCTGAGAAAGTGCTGTAAGTCTGTCTATCTTTAAAGCAGAGATGCCTCCTATAATCAAGATTCCTTTTGTTAATTTGGAAGTTTATATTAACATCTACCTACATCCTGTGTTGCATTAAGAATTCCATCAGGTATCAAGCAAAGCAGAAACAAGTTACAATTGAATTGACTCCAACTCATGGAGCCTCCGTGGGGGTCAGAGCAGAGCTGTGCTCACAGGGTTTTTGGAAGTAGGGCCTCAGCCAGGCCTTCACCTCTGGGTAGACTTGAACCTGCAGCCTTTTAGTTAGCAGCCAAGCATGCTCACTGTTTGCATCACCCAAGATGTCATTCAGATGAAGTGGATCAAAGAAACAAAATATGAGCTCCACTCAGCCTCCAGCATCGCTGGGAAAGAAGTCCTGGAACATTTGGTCTCTCTGGGCAACGCCAGGCCAACCCAGGATAACGTGGTATAAACTACAGCCTCATTGGAAGGAAGCTTCCTCCAGAGTAGGCCTGACTACACAGGGCTTCCTGGTGGAACTGGATCGAGGTTAGGACTGAGGGGTTAGGTTTGGGTGAGCCAGTAGGGGTAGCTGGTAGGTGGTAAACAGGTGTGTGTGGTTTTCTACTCTGAGGGTGGAATATAGGGGGCTTTGGGGAGTTGATTCTTCATCTTTGGTGTGGGAGTTCAGTCTGTGTGTCAACTTGGCTGGGCCTGGTGGAGTGGCTGGGCAGCTGGATGGAGTATTCCCCATGATGAGACTGGTAATCAACTCCATGGTGGAATCTACTGGGAGCAGCTGAGTAGCATGTGGTCTGCTTCCCATATATAAGCAGCAGCTTTGGGAATGGTCTCTAGCTTATGGCACCTTGAACCCTGCATGTAG